TAGTATATATAGATATATATATATGCTATATATATGTTTATATATATAATATATATACATAATGTATATATTGTACATATGTATACATAAAGCTCTCTCCATTTCTTAGCAGTATGTACCACCTTGATGGCAAACAAATAAAAATGATATCAGAAATAGAATGTTAGTTACACTGACAACAACACTGCAATCAGTTTACTTCTATATATCTTTAATAAAAAACAATATCAGTGTAAGCCACAGTTATTGATTGTTATTTTTTTTTTGTCTGCAATATGAATTTCTAAAAGCTGCACTGTTGGAAATTGCAGCCTGAGTTTGTGCTAGTTTTAAATGGCAACACTGTCCTTCACTGTCCTTAAATTAAAATACATCCACATTTGCAATTGTTTTACTCTGAAAACCCATATTTGAAATCTTATGAGGCCCTTTTCCCTTAGAGTGAGTTTAAAAGATAATGATAAGTAAGCATGTGATGGAAGTTTCACATTATCATTGTAATTTAATACGTGCAGTGAGGCTCATTGTGAGTCCTACTGCAAACCCTGCCATGAATCTGGGCTGCCGGGCAGTGGATTATAATCCTCTTCTCCAGGGGCACACTTTTCAGAGTCATTATTCTCAGGATTCAAAATAATTTAGTGCGATGTATGCTGATCCAACACGGCTGTGTGTGGGCTGTCCAAATGGTTTAAATGTTCTAAAGGAGGCAAATAAGCAGAGGAAACGTATTCCAGAGAGTATTCCATACTCAAGGTGGCAGCACAAACTGTCTGCAGATACGATTTCACCATGAGAGTGATGCAGTCTAAACGTTAAAAAGACATAGAGGCAACTTCTGTCAGTTCTGTTTCTATTTACACTGAATATTTCAGCCATGTTTGCTGTTAATGCAAAGCTCTGTATTAACATTTATACTTAAAGTATCACATATTTGGTTTATATTTATATTAGGTATATATTTGGTTTCTTAAAAAACAACCAGTGAAAGGCTGATAAAAAGAAAAAAATATATATCCCTCCAGTGAAAGGCTGATAAAAAGAAAAAATATATCCCCGCCAACACATTAGTTAGGGAAATTACACAATGTTTCTTGTTAATTTCACTGTAATCCATAATCCCATCATCATGTTCTTTTAAAATAATCTGGGAATATACAGTTTTAGTGGTAGAGTGCACTCTTCACATGCATGAGGCTCCATACTACACCGATTTAATATGAAATAAAAATGATATGAACCTGAACATTTTCCATCACTACTCACATCCATATATATGGCTACAGGATCTTATAGCTTATTAGCTTATTAGTGGGCAGGACAACTTGTGAAACACTGTTAATCTGCCTTCCGTCATAGAGGATATGATGTCCGTTCTTACAGAGAGGGGATGTAACTCAGTGGTAGAGCGTGTGCTTTGCATGTACAAAGTCGTGGGTTCAATCCCCAACCTCTCCAGCTGACTCTTTTATACCCTCTCCTTGCACTGAACAATATCATACATATCTTCCTGCACTTGTACAAGACTGTTCAAAATAGAATAGACTGTTTGAACACACTTAACGTTTTTCCATAATTCATTGTCATGTTGTTTAGGTTAAAGGTTCACCAAGATGACAAAGTCCAGGTGTTCTCAGTATCAAGCCAACCCCGGTTATTCATCAGTGTGACTGCAGTGTTTGTCTGGATGTGCCCATGAGCGGTGTGGCTGCAGCTGTGACTGTGTAGAAAAAAAGAAGTGAAAGATGTCCTTTTTTTTCACACAAACACAGCTGCCTTGAAGGTGTCTGCACATCGTCTCTCTGCGTGACGCCCTTAAGGAGAACGGCACCAAGGGTAATGAGACTTCAAAAATGATTTGGAACAGAAACGTGAATGGAAGCTGACAAATTGGCTCACCGTTGTGCAACAGATTGCACAGGCCCTGTGCACAGTGACTTCAATATGGCCGCAGAGATACATGGGCTGAGTCTTTGTAATGAATTCATGTCGCAGCAGATGGACGGTCTATGAGACAAATGTATTCACATCCCCGCTGAGAAGCAAAGGGTGTTAATAACTAAGTTTCATTGACTTTATGATGGATCTGACATGAGTGTGAGTGTTTCAATTCCACCTAAAGCTGCATGTTGGCTACCAAGTAAAAGGGCACCTGGTTCTTATAAATGTATCCAATTCGATACTGATCATGCTCACGTGGCTACTATGATTGTAGAAAGTGTGGAAATCCTTATCTTTTGTCAATTTTTATTGTATAAATCCAGGATATACATAAGTTGTAACTTTGATCAAACACCAGATAGCCATTGAACTCAGTTTCCCAGCAGCCATCATTACTTCCACGCCTGGGTTTGAGTGCACATGTGACAGAACCGTGTTAGCTTTTCCTTCAGTCTCCCAACAATCATGTCTAAGGAATTAGGTGCATTTTGTCAGCTTATTCTGTGAAAGAAAGGACTAATCAGCACATGACACAAGCCAGAACATCCACTGCTCACTGGAGGAAAACACACAAGATGTCTTCCTGTCACTCCTGCTATGGTAAGCTAAGTGGGCTAACAGTGATATAGCCCATTTTACTAATATGGTCAGTGCATTGTGATGTGTGATCTAGTGTGATTGACTCTAAATCAAGTTGATGGCATCTTGAGATATGGCTGTAAAAATGTGTGTTTTATTGAAATACTGCATAATACTAAAAGTACAAATACAAGACACCATGTTGTATCTGCACTACATTATGACTACTTTATTATGATTATACGTGAAATGGCCACTGCATAGTGGTAATAATTAATTCTTCGGCATTTGTTTTGTTCCAACTAATTAATTCTTCGGCATTTGTTTTGTTGGTTGATGGTTTAGTTAACTTTCCACCCTGTATCCTATGTAGCAGCCATAACTAACGCACAGCTATTAAATTTGACTGCTATTCAAATCTGGCATTTTGTCCCAGACATAATATTTTATTGACCCTAAAGGAAGTCTGACATTGACAAAAGGCTTTTGGGTTAGTGCCAGGACTACCATCACCCTCAGGTGATGTCACTCTCCTTGTCCTAATGGAGGCAGAGAGCCAAAGGACATTTCAACCCATTGATACTGATATCAAAAGCTGTCTGTCACTTATCTCACTACCCATTCTCTTGGCAGCTCCACTACGTTTTTTTTTATCCATATTCTTCTCTCTTCTACTGTTCCTGTTCATTATTTCCCTCGTGACCCTCTCCAGTGTCTCCCCCCTTTCATCCCTCTTCTCTGGTTTTCAATAGGGTATTTTTCTACGTGATGAAATACTCAATTTCCTCTGAAACAATCTCTGACTCTAGTTACATCACAGGGAATAATACAAGCTAAGGCTTCTATTATACCTGTACGAGGACGGCACATCTGTGGCAGATTCCCAAAGATCAGGAGAGAAACCAATTTGTTTGGTAGACTGTCATCTTTTGTTTAAACTATCTATCCATCTAAACGTATTTAAAACTGGCCTCACAGATGCTCGGTTAAATGTGCAAAAAGTTGTGCAACTTTCTGCTAATAGCTTAGTTTGTAACAGAAAAAAGTAGCTGCTCTGCCCAAGTCTTAATAATAATATACTGCTCTTCATGAAATGACAGTAAGACACACGTCTAAAACAAATCGTCTGGTGTTAAGTAAGACATAATGGCTGTTATGTCTCGCTCTCTAGAACATTCCCACCCTGTATCTGACACACAAGGACATGATTAAGATTCTACAACGCACCCAGATTCCAAACTATTCCCAGGCTGAACACTGCTTCCTAAATTTTGGCTTACGGAGTCTGATGTATTTGTGATTGTCTCCTGCTCAATTTTAAAACCTTTGTATTGGAATTAAACTGAACCAAATGGTCAGTTAAGTGTTGTGTGTTCTATCTATGTTTAGATAGAATAACATCCTCAATTCAACATTTGACTCCATGATCCTGATTAGGGTCTAGTACCAAATAAAACCTCAGTGATTTCAAGGCATTTTTGTAATGTTGTCATTTTCAACATTTTCAAGATAGCATTTTTGTAATGTTGTCATTTTCAACTGTTAAAGATCAGAAAGAACTATACTGTTATACAGAATAGATACAGAGAATATTGATCCATCAATAATCAGTTGAAATATTAGAGCATTCCTTAGTGGATGTCAAGCCTTTTGTATGTTGGCTCAGCTGCCATATTATGCCAAAGGTTTCCTAAGGAACACTTAATTTACTTATTTATACTTATACTTTATATGTATCACAGAATTGACATCTTTTGTCATCACAGAATAGGATGGGTGTTCAACATAGATTTTTCTCTAAAAATGTTTTCTTCTTTGTGGGTCACAAATTGTAAAACTTCTGAAAAAATAAACTTCTTACCTAACTCTAAATGTACCCTTCTTTCTCTCTATTTTCAAACTGGTAATAAATGTAGCATGGTCACATTATTGTTTGTCTTTAGGACTGATGGGAATTCATTCCGAGATGAAAATCAGCATAGTAACACTTAATCATTGTGAAATAGTTTAGCTGTTACATAATTATTTTTCTAGGCACCACTATCCTGTTTCTCTTCACCACACCCTTCTGTCTCCAGTGTTTCTCTTCTCTCCACTTCCCACCGTCTCTACTTCCTCTGAGTCTTCAGAGCACTCGCCACTCTCACCACTCGACTTCATATAATAGAACACAATTGGCTGTCATTATCAAGTTAGCCTTCCGGAGGGGTTTGGAAGATGCTGTCATTATCAAGTTAGCCTTCCGGAAGGGTTTGGAATGATGTGTCAACCACTGTTGACTTCAGATACATTATGTGGCAAACAGTAGCAAAAACACAATGTGATAAATGCTCCGCACAGCTGACGTTGATTTATGGAACTTGGAGGTTGAGTATGTGATAGTGGTTAAGAAACATGTAACATGCATTCTTCAAACTGTGTTCATCCTGCACACAGTTTTTGTGTTTGTGTATATGCAGTTCTGCACATTCCTCTCCTACCTTCAGCTTCAGTGTATGTGGTTTCATTGGAGATATTTTCCTGGCCCAGGTCTGCTGTACTGTACACCTGCACGACGTGGAGCTGCTGGAGCAACACCACATCTGCGTCCTTGAGCCCCATCTCCAACTGGCGGACAGTTCCCTGCCCAGGCTGGCTTGTCAGCACTGTAACCTTGGAGTAAAGTAAGAGAATATTTAAAAAGAAATGTGTCACTGTGAAAAGTCACAACAAATAAATCCACTAAGTAAAAAAATACGATCCTTGGAATAACATAAATTAGGACCATTCCAGTGTATTTTCTTTTTAAAAATCACTGAATCTTTAGCATTTCAACAACTGCACTGAAAGACTAACTCTTGAGTTTAAATTCTCCAAGTGGTGATGAAACGTGTAAATAGTGTACAGGCACAGGCCCAAAATGATCACAGCAAAGCATTTAGTTAATGTTATGTTAATGTGGTCCAAAAACTACATTTGAGTGACCAACTTGACATTCCACTACCCAAAATAACAGATTATAAAATGTATTAAGTATAAACATTTGTACCAAAAATGAAAGTGTTAGGATAACACATGAATTATGCCAACAGGTTCCCAATAGGGCTTTTACTTTGACCTCAAGTCTTGCAACAGGTTCCCAATAGGGCTTTTACTTATAACACAGTAAAATACTATAATAATATATTTTCTCCCACAAAAACGACATTTTCTGATAAGAAAATGTTGTAATTACATTTTAATCTTTGCCCAAGACCTTAAATAAGTGCTGACTACGTATGAGGATGAAATGAGTTTCAGTGAAAAATAGATAAATCAACCACAGAAGCACATTAACAGCAGCAGTTGAGGCTGATTAATCTGTGATTATTAGTGGCTTCTGCTTCCAGTTTCCTCCTGCTAAGTCAGTAGTATAGTCTGGGGCCTAATGCACACACACACACATGCACACACATGCACACGGGTACAATGCTATGCCTCTGGTTAGTGTCTCTCTGGCTTCTAATGGTGCTATTCATATCTGCTGCCGCTCCTGTCGGAAACAGTGGCTCTTAGTGTAATCATCTGTCCAGAGCTTCCCAATAAAGCTGGCAGGGATTTGAGAATTCCTTGTCAACAACCAACAGCAGCCTTGTATCCGGGAACACATTGTTCAAATGTGACACAAAGACTGTAGTTTCTCATTCCCTGGCTGATGTCTGCATCTGGACCACTAAATGTTTCAAAGGAACTGATTCAAATAGTGTATGTTTATACTTTGTTGCATGGTAACGTCTTTGAATCAAATGAAAAAACCTACCATTTTTATTTTAAAAAGCTGTTATCAATAAAAAAAACAAAACAAAACCAGATCACTTCAGGATTAGTTGGCTGTAACATAACAGGTGCAATCTCCAGAGGAAAGTGATTCGTAGTTGTTCAGATGTATTTGAATTACATATTTAAAAGGGTTTGTGATTCAATATTAACCACTTCACATCTCATCACATACAATCTTTGTTGGTTACTTCCCGTTGTCAGTGTTCCAGCTCATTCTCCACAGATGCCTTAGCAGCAGATGAGTTCAACCTGTTTGCTGCATTTGAAATTCATTTGGAATGTTGTCTATGCAGTCTTGTCACCCACTAAATTGGGATGTTAATGCATCTAAAAACATGCTAATGTGATCCATAATTCAAAACGCTACTTGAATTGAACTGAACATGAAAGGAGCTATTTAAAGGGTATGAAAAGAGCGTTATGTAACTATCTCCAAAGGGATGCTTTTTTCAAATCGGCTCCTTCAAATCGGATTTAAAGAGACAGAAACAAAATGTTGACAAGACATATTTATAGTCAATTATTCTGCTTGATATTTTTGTGCATTTCGAGGCAGCTGCATTTGTCTATCCTTTGATATTTATGTTTCCGCTTTTTCCGTCCTTAGTGCTATGAGGTGAGAGGTTCAGTCCCCCAGTGTCTTTGCATGTTGTGACTAACTGCTTTTATAACCACAAGGAGTCATTGCTACTGAACCCAGACTAAATTACACCACAGTTCTATCTGTGTTTCCACTCACTTGAGTCTTTTATTATGAACTTTTGTACTTTGTTTTCTGGGGGTTTTGCGAGATCCTTACCTGTATTGATAAGTTGCTGTTGGTAGTTTGGTTTCCAGTGCTGATGTGTCTGACGTACTGTTTAAACTGCTGCAGACTGTCGAGCACTGCCTGTTGCAGCAGCTCACCTCCTCTGGCTGTGGCCTTCATACATCCTTCACCTGGAATAGACCGTAGCTCCTCCACACACAAACGCAACCTGGCAAAGTTACCATGAACCTGCTAATTATAGGAGGAAAAGAAGGGAAGTGATGAGGTGACTGCCAGAAAAAACAAAGATATGGAGCCTAAGAAGGAGGAAAAGTAGAGTAAAAGCTTTGAAATATATGTTTATCTTC